ATTTAATAGGGGAATAAAACTTTTTCATCATTATTTAATATATTTCACTGGGACTTAATGAAAACAGACTATAATATCTGTGATAAAGGAAACAGTTAATAGGAAGCCCTAGAGTCTGAAACCCAGCTGCTTTTTTTTTCATTTTATCTGCCACTTTCCTCCATCTTTAACAGTAATTTTTATAGTAACAATTTTAATTTTCCTCAAAAAATGGGAAATCTTTAGTATTTCTAGACAGGCAAAGTTTCAAAATGACCCCACACTCATGGCTGAGTCCATCTTTCTGATATTTCATGTGTTCTGATTGAATAAACTTAGTTCTTAGTAATCTTAGTCCAAAGTAATCCTTGTGATGTGGTTTAATAGTCAGGTGTGGTGATGCATGCCTGTAATCCCAGCACTCACGAAACTGAGGCAGGAGGATCACTGTGAGTTTGAGGCCAGCCTGGGCTGCATAGTACATTCTAGGCCTACCTGAACTATGTAGTGAGACCCTGTCTCCAAAACCCAAAAAGATTATAAAAAGGTAGTCTATTTTATTATAAATTATAATAAAATTGTGGCATGCCTGTATAATCCCAGCACTCTGGGAGGCTGAAGCAAGGATCACAGGTTCAAGCCCAGCCTGAGCAATTTAGTGACTTAACAAGGCCCTATCTTAAACCAAATTTGAAAAGTGCTGGGGTATAGTTCAGTGCAAATGCCCTGGGTTCTGTCCTCATACTGCAAAGCAAGCAAGTATTTAGCTGTCTTTTAAAAATTTTAAATACGAGATGTAGTATTAGAATTTAAAAACAGTACTAGGACTTCTTCCTATTGCAGCTTTCATTTTCTTTTTTACTTTTAAAACACTGGTTTCATGGGTCTGGTGTGTGTGGCTCAGTGGTAGAGCAGGTGCTTAGCATGCTTGAGGGCCTGGGCTCAACCCCCTTTTCTCTGCCACAAAAGCAAACTAAAGCACATTGTGGTTGCCTAACGGCCAGTGCTGTTCGGTGTATGTGACAATGATACGTACTCGGTACTTTATAGCATGCTGGCAATAAACTGAATGAAGTCTAGGCTAGGTAGATTGTATAAAATGTAAACATCAAACTCTTAATTGGTTCTTGCAGAAAGTGGGAACAAACAGCTGATCTGAAAATTATCAGCCAGGCTTTCAATACAGCAGTGTCCAGCATTTGTATGATTGTGTGATGAAGTATATTTATGGTAAGAGGAGTAAAGGCCAAGCCTGGTGGCACACACCCATAATCCCAGCACTCAGGAGGCTGAGGCAGGAGGATTGCTGCAAGTTCAGGGTCAGCCTAGGCTATATAATTCAAGGCCAGCCTGAACTACATAGTGCAATCCTGTCTCCAAACACCAAAAATAAAATTACTTTTTAAAAAATGTGCCTGGCTACAGTCTTTGAATCAAAGATAAGATTTTGATCCCATATGGATTTGTATAATCTAAATATAAACCCCTATTACTCCTTAGGACAAAAACCTATTCCTTCCTCAACTGCAGGAGATGTGCTTACTAGGCAGTCTAGGCACATGCTTGAGCATTAACAAGGGGGCACTGAAAGAGAAAAAACTTACAGGCAGGCACTGTGCCACTGAGCTACATTCCCAGCCCAAGAAAAAAAACTTAATGGTTAGGAATTCTTTAAAAGCCAAGTAGTACTTAGGGGAGAAAAAATCAGACCTCTTTGTGACACTTATAGTTATTTGTTAGTGCTATTTTTGTTTTTTGGGTTTTGTTTTGTTGTGTTTTTTTGAGATAAGGTCTCACTATGTAGCCCAGGCTAGCCTCAAACTCCCAGCAATCCTCCTGCCTCAGCCTCCCAAGTGCTGGGATTACAGGTGCACTCTGCCATGCCTGGCTTATTTGGTGCTATTTTCATTTTGAAATACATGTGAAAGAGTGGGAAAGAGGTAGCACAGAATTGGCAGTATTCTGGCTCTCCTTTGGAAGTTTGTGGGCCAGCTGGAGGTATTTGTCACAGTCATCTAACAAATATAAGCTATAAATGAAATCGTGGCTCAGAAGAATGGAACAGCAGATGTGTGGGCTACTTGCAGGTTGAGGTCGTGTTAACTCAAGGCTGCTGCCTTTCAGGGGTGAGAACGTGCAGAGAGGGGATGGAATGGAAAGAGCAGCTTTGCCGAGGTCCTGGGAGTTTAGAAATAGGAGAGACCAAATAGTCGTTAAAAAGAAATGATAGACATTTGATAGATACTTCATGAAATACAAAAAGCGGGACACGAACCCGTATGTACCACATAAGCCCGTTTTTGTCTTAAACACATTTGAGAACTAACCAAAGTCCTCTGACACATGGTGCCGTGGTGTCTGGATGTGGTTTCCAGGGGAACCAAACTGGGCTGATCCTTGGCTGTTTCCTTTTTTCTTTTCGCCTTGAACACATACCACTCAGGTGAAGAGCACACGAGCAGTGTGCAGAGGACTCGCCCGTGGACGGGGAGCAGAGCTGGGGTGCCTTAGGATGGAGCTGCGTGGGCAGCTGGCTGCTGGGCGGGGAGGACTTGAATCAAGTTTCGCGTGAACTTGGAGTCAGCTGCCAGGAAAGGGCTCCTTGCTTTTAACTGATACCAAATTAAAAAGTGCTCAGCCTGACCTGAGGGTAGGGGAGACTCAACTGCAGGGACAGAGGGAGGAGTCCGGTGGTGTCCCCGTGTCACCTGGGTAACTGGGCAGGCTGACTCCAGGGCCTGTGATCCCGTGCCAGCTGTGCCCTCTCCCGACGCTGCTCTCCACCTGGAGGGCATGGGAAAGACAAGGGGACATTCCGGACCCAAAAATGCAGGGTTAGAATGATAACCTTACCTGAGGTGACCAGCTTTTTTCTCAGAAAGTTTTGTTTTTCTTTGAACTTTCGTCCACTGGCTTTTCCTTTTCCTTTTTTACTGATATTTTGTTTGTTTCAAATTTTTGAGACTGGGTCTCACTGGCCTTGAATTCACAGGGAACCTCCTGCCTCAGCCCCCCGAGGGCTGAGATTACAGGCATTGCCACCATGCTGGGCTTCTCTTTTTCCATTCATTCATTTATTTATTCTGGAAGCAAAGCATTTATTGGTACATTTTAGATGTACATAATGACAACTCTCATCACAGGGAATTTGTGCCTGTACATGGTATATCCCACCTCTTCTCTTTTTCCCATTCCCCCTCTCCCCTCAGCCACCCTCTCCTCCTTATATACAAAAGCTTTGTTTCCATTTTTACCTTCTGTTTTCACTTTTTTTTCTTGTCCTTTCCTTCCTTTCCGCCTCTCTTCTCCCTTGTTCCCCTTCCTATTTGAACATTTTCTTCACATTTCCCAATATCTATCGTACATTTTAGTCCTTATTTCCACTTTCTCTTTTTCCTTTTAAACCTTGAGTATTGGCATCTTTTCCACAACTTAAAATTCTGGAAACTTAACATTCAGCCTGTTAATTATGTAGACTCATAGACTCATGCATGTTTTAAGTTGGTTCCAGAAGTGTGTTTGCATTTTTAAAATTGAACCCTAAGAGTGTTAGAATACGTTAAAAGAGTAAAATGTGAAAGTGTACTTTTGGATGAGATCTGAGTAACAGCTTCTGCTGATCTGAAGTGCTGATGACCTACAGCTACTTCGTTTCTGAATATGGCTTTTTATATTTGTAAGTGCTAGAGGAGCAAGTAAGGGAATGTGTTATTTATGTCTTATGCATATTTACTCTATCTTGTTACACAAAAGTACAGTAAGGTAATATATTATTCGTGTTTTATTCTTATCTATGCTATCTTGTTTTGTAAAAGTGTTGAATCAGCTTATAAAAACACCCACAAGAAATATTGATTTTAAAAAATAGAAGTACAAAATCACAACTAAAGCAAATGAAACTAGGGAAATAGGAGATGAAGACATTGGCCCTAAGATTTGAGTTTTGTTTGGAGCTGTGAGTTTCCTTGCTGCTGAAGATGAAACACACAATGGTTCAGTGTTTATTAAAGAAGTAAAAAATACCAGTTTTTTTAGTAGTATGTTCTTATGTAGTTATAATTGCTAAATAAAATTTCATGAACTTTATATAGTGGAGGGGATGCTAAAAGATAGAGCGGTGTTCTTATAAATACAGTTGTTTGCATGAAATTTATGTTAGTTTTACGACAATCCATAAATGATAGTTTTGTTTTTTACAGAAATACATGTAAAAGTGTTTAAGGCACAGTAGGGGACTATACTTTTCCCTTGAGACAGGGTCCAGCTGTAGAGTTGGTGCATGTGGAGGAGAGCTCATCAGTGTGGTTCCCCTGTCAGGAGCTGTGGGCCCTGTGCTGTCCTCTGGGCTCCTGCATGTTCCAGTGGGACAGAACCGAGGGGAGTGCTGCTGGGCTGTGTGCTGAGACAGGGTGCTTCCGGAATGGAGCTTCTTCTGGAAAGAGGAAGCTCGCCCTAGAAAGAAAGGAGCTAAGAAGTTTATTCTCCATGGTTCTGATACATAAAATGCACTTCTTAACTTTAGAAGAAAAGCAATTTCAGCACTAATGCTAAAATATTTATGACTAAAGTTGAGTTTGTAAGGAGTGCCTGGTATTAGTTCATTCTCCTTTAAATTAATGACAGTGTTGAGGGCCGGAGGTGAGCTATGAGGAGGCTTTCACAGCACATGGAGTAAGACTGGCCGTGAAGCTAAATGTGCTCCGTGGAAAGGGCTGCCCCGTGATCTGAGATTTTGTCCTTTCTGCACTTTTGGTGTTAAAATGTATATTTATTTTTATAAACAAATGTTTATTTTTATAAATAAATATAAATTGTAAAGTATGTATTTATTTTTATAAACAAGATTGTTTTTAACTTGATAAAATTTGGGAGGACATTTTTCTGGTTTTTGAGTTTCAAATGTTTGGAAAGTACTGTCTCAAACTTTTTTTCTTTGTTTTTTTTTTTGAGACAGGGTCTCTCTATGTAGCGCAGGCTGGCCTTGAACTCACTGTGCAGCCCAGGCTGGTCTGGAACTCAGCCTCAGCCTTCCAAGTGCTGAAGTGCTGAAGTGCTAGGAGTGCAGACATGTGGCACCACGCCCAGCTGAAACTTCCTGACCAGAGACTGGGACCCAGAAGCACTCTGTGCCAGAGAGACTCCTGAGCTACAACAGACAGCAAGCTCTCTGAAGTCACCTTGTGTTGGGTTATGCTGTGGTGATCAGCAGTGCCAGACTCTGTGGCTTTCGGGGCCAGAAGTTACCCCACGTGTCATGTTCTGTGTCACCTTGGGTGGCTGTGGCAGCGCAGCTCTCCTTGTGTCTGTCCTGGAACCCAGTGGGAAGCAGAGGGAAGAGGAGACCTGGCAGGTTGTTCTCTGCTTGTGGGCTTTGCTGCTTCTCTTGTTCTGTTGGCCACAGCAGGTGCCGTGCAGAACAGGAAGTGTGACCCTTCATGGCCTCAGTGAGGGGGGGGGGGTCACCCACCCCTAGGAGGGCCACAGGGGTTGGGAGGAACAGTAACATCTGCTGCAGTATCACTCAGTGCGGGGAACTCAATTTTGTAAAGATTTGTTGCTTTGTAGTTTACAAAGAGAGCTTAGAATTTAAATCTAAGTCGTGGTACTAAAGTTTTAAAGGCTGGTTCTTCTCATTTGTGTATCAGATTGCTCTAACTTACTTTGTAGCTAATGAGTGACCCATAAATTTTTTTTTTTTTGCATTGGCATTCTTTAACTTGAGCATCTTTTTTTTTTTTTTTTTTGCTTAAATTCTTTCATTGGTACATTTTAGGTATACAGTATGTTTACATTTATCATTGGGGGCTTGTACCTGTACATGATGTATCTTGGTTCTTATTCTTTCCCCATTGCCTGTGTGCCCTTCCCTATTTACATAGACTTCGTTTCCGTTTTTTTTCTTTTCTCATAATTTTTCCTTTCCCTTCTTTCCTTTCCCCTTCCCCTTCTACCTCCCCTATCCCTTTGGACCTTTTCTTCCTATTTCAAATTATCAGTTATTTGTTTTAATCATTTTAATCCTTATTTATACTTTCAGTTTCTCACACTAGAGAAACTATTTGGTATTTACACATGTGTGTCCTATTTATTTCACTTAAGAGTATGGCCTCAATATGCATCCATTTAGCTATAAATGTCTCTAGTTTCTCGTTCTTTATGGCTGAGTAACTTGAGCATCTTAAAACCAGGAGAAACTTTGCCCAAGAAGTTTTTCAAACTTTTTGTTTTTGTTTTTGTTTTGAGACAGGGTTTGCTGTGTAGTTCTTGAAATCGTGGCAATCCTCCTGCCTCAGCCTCCTGAGTACTGGAATTACAGTCATAGAATTACAAGCGTGCACCACCACACCCAGCTCTCTGATTATATTCTTAAACCAATTATAATGCATTTTAATGTTAAAACTACAATATGACTCTACCCCAGTTTATACTGACTGCCCTTTACTGTATTAGGACAGCGACCAAATGTTTTCACAGTAAATGTCATCATTGTCTCTTCATACTTTAATGACAAAATGTATATTAGAGTGTAAAGAAAGTAATGGTTTATTATTTAATGTTTAACGTATATAAAGATGTTTAACATATAAAGACTTTGATTCTCAGTCCTCTGGCTAGCGATAGAAGCCATCACTTTATTTCCTAAGCTTACCCACTGTAGAACTTCAGAGTCGGGTGAGGATCATGCATGGGTGTGTTAATTATGTAAAAGATGCAAAAATAAGAATATTTTTATTCAATATTTAGTGAAAAACAAAACAAAAAAGCTCTTTTATATTTCTGTTCACAAAGCAGATATATGGCACAGGAAGTATAGTATTAGTAGTTCAGGATTAATTTAAGATGTGTTTTATACTTTTAACTCTGAAAATCTTAAGTATCAAAATAATTTGATTTTTAAATTTATTTTTTTCCTTTCCAGATCCAGTCTCTCTGTGGAAGTTCTAAACATCGTTTTTGGTGGAAATACTTTTTACACAATGAAGTCAACAATTTAACAAGTGTTTCTGTGGTTGTGAGTCATCCGCATGGTTCACAAAGCCTGAGACCTGAGGAGTACAGGGACCTGTGTGATGACAATATGACGAATAGCAAAGGGAGGTCCACTCCTAGCAAAGCAAGCGGTGGTCCAAGTCGTGGGGGAGGTTTTGTAGATTGGACTTTGCGTTTAAACACAGTTCAGTCTGATAAGTTTTTAAACTTACTGTTGAGGATGGTTCCAGTGATTTACCAGAAAAACCAGGAAGACAGGCACAAAAAAGCAAATGGCATTTGGCAAGATGGGTTATCGAGTCCAACACAGACTTTCAGTAACAGATCGGAGCAACACCTGGAGTATCACAGTTTCTCTGAGCCCACTTTCCATGGCAATAGTGGGCACATGCCCTTGAGCTGCAGCCCCAAGTATGATGACTATGCCAACTACAATTACTGTGATGCCAGGGAGACCTCAGAAACCACTGCTATGCTGCAAGATGAAGATCTGTCTAGTGAGGCCAATGAAGATGTTATTGTGGAAATGAACCCCAAATTACCAAAGGAGTCCAGTGGCATCATGGCACTGCAGATACTCGTGCCGTTTCTGCTAGCTGGTTTTGGAACGGTTTCGGCTGGCATGGTTTTGGATATCGTACAGGTGAGTTTTCATCTCTAATGTCACTGTTGGGCTGGGGATTTAGCTCAGTGATGCCGCTGCCTGCCTCACAAGTGCAAGGTCCCAAGTTCAATCCCTGGTACCAAAAACACACACACACACACCAAAAAAATCTCTAATGTCACTGTCTTTTTATTCCATTGTGGATTAAAATGCTTTATATAGGTTCTGAGTCTCAAACATTTTTAAAGTTCATCTTTGCTAGGGATCAAACCCAGAGCCTCATGCATGCTAGTCAAGTGCTCCACCACTGAGCTGTATCCCAGCCCTCAGATAATAATTTTGATTTAACTTACTCCTTAGTAAAGAGAATGGATGTGCACTCTGGCACATGTCCTTTATTCCTAGTTAGGCTTCAGTTTCTTTGTTCTGGCGTTGGGCGCGTATGCATTCATGATTGTTACTTTCTCTGTTGATTTGTTCCTTTGTCATTACATGGTTGCCTCTTTGCCACCTTGTAGCCTTTGACTTGGAGTCTATTTCAAATGATCCCTTATTCCATTCTTTCATTTTTATTCTATATGTGTCTTTATTAGTGGCATGCGTTTCTTGTTGGGAGCATGGTGTTGGGTCCTGTTTCTTTTAAAAATCCATTTAGTCAGACCGAATCTTCTAATTGGGGATTTAATCCTTTTACATTCAAGGTTATTACTGATAAGTTATGACATGCTCCTGTCATTTTGTGAGCTTTTTTTCTGGTTGTTGTATATCCTCTGTTTCTTCCCTCTTCTGTTGTTCACTGGTGTGGTTTGGCATTCCCCGAATTGATATGTTTGGTTCTTTTTCTTTTATATAAATCTGCTCCAATGAACTTTGTCCTTCCACATGTTATCATGATGGTAGTTACCATGCTTTGGCATCAATTGTCAGACTCCTCCCTGAAGCCTTTCCTCTGATGCCTCTCTGGCAGTTGATGACTTTTCTTGGCTTTTGCGCGCTCATTTTGGAAAGACTTCCTCTTTCATTTCTGAAGCTTTGCTGGGTATAGTAGTCTTGGTTGGCAGGGGGTTTTTTTTTGAGGAAAATTAACTTAGTGCATGTTGGTGTTAATACCTACAGTAATAAACACTCAGTCATCACTGTGTGCAGGCATGAACGCAATTATGTCCCCACTTATATGAAGAAAGTCAAGCATCACTCTGCCCGAATCAGGCAGTGAGTTACTAGAGTCAGAATTTCAGTCTAGGAAATCTGGCTGCAGAGCCCTTCCTCTGGACTGCTGTGGTCTTCTGCTCCTGTCTACGGTTTCCAGACTGTGTGTCAAGGTGCCTTAGGGTCGCTGAAGAATATTTTGACTTTTTGAGGGGAACAATGACATCTTTCAGACACAGTATAGACTCCTAGCTCAAGATGGTTTAACATTTCAACATCAGACCATACTCTATTCATTTTGATGACGTATCTTTGCACAATTGGGGTTTAGCAGTGCTGTGATTAAAAAGCAAGTGTCCACAAAAAATCTGAAACAGGAAGTGAAGGTGACAGTTTCCACTTCCTATGTTTGAGAAGTTACGCAGTACCCAACAGGTACACATCTCTTATTAGAAACAATTGCAATTATATAAAAATGACATTGAAGGTGTAAAAATTGTTTTATTTCCTCATCAGACTACTGACTTGTTAGGAAATATATATTTATTAAGTTGTTTAGAAATATCTACTTAATAGTAAATAGAATTGTTAAGTGTTTTTTTTTTTTTTTGGAACTGGGGATCGAACTGGGGACCTTGCACTTGCAAGGCAGGTGCCAGAACTACTGAGCTAAATCCCCAGCCCTGTTAAGTGTTTCTTTTGTCCTAAGGATGCCATGAAAACATTTCTGAAATACCCAAGAATGCCAGGAACAGGGAAATCGGGAGCTTCTGCAAGCACAGGTCTGGAGGTGTGGGGAAAAATGTAGACTTTTTTGGCACAGATAGGAAATCAATAATTAATAGCACTTATGATCACACCAATGTTAGGTTGTCAGAGATTTCATGGTAAAAGTCATGTATTTGGTTTTTAAAATTAATTTCATTGGTACACTTTTGATATACATAATGATCACATTCATCATAGAGAATTTGTACCTGTACATAATATATCTTGATTCTTCTTTTTTCCTGTTCCCCTCCCCACCCTTCAACCTTTCTTACCTTCCTTAATCACAAAAGCTTTGTTTCCATTTTATTCCTTCTATTCTCTTTTATCCCCTTTAACCTTCTTTCCCTTCCCTCTCTCCCCATCCTTGTTCCCCTTCCCATCTGAACGTTTTCTTCGTACCCCCCAGTATCTGTCTTTACATTGAAAACTACTGTACTCTGAAAAATGAGATCAAAGAGGATATCAGAAAATGGAAAGATATCCCTTGCTCTTGGGAAGGCAGAACCAATAGAGTGAAAATGACCATACTTCCAAAACTATTATACAGATTTAATGCAATCTCAATCAGAATACCAAGAGCATACCTCACAGAACTAGAGAAAACAAACCTAAAATTAACGTGGAACCAGAAGAGACCTAGAATTGCAAAATCAATTCTGCACAACAAAAGCAAGCCAGGGAGCATCACAACCCCCAACTTCAAATTATACTCCAAAGACACCACGATAAAAAAAAAAAAAAAAACAGCATGTTACTGGAAAAAACCAGACCCAAGGATCAGTGGAACGGAATGAAAGATGCAGATATAACTCCAAACACACAGCCACCTGATGTTTGACAAAGAGGTCAAACACCCTCACTGGAAGAAAGATAGCCTCTTTACTAAATGGTGCTGGGAAACTGGCTTGCCAAATGCTGAAGATTAAAACTAGACCCATATCTCTCACCATGCACTAAACTAAAATTGAAATCGATAAAAGATCTAAACATTAAAACAGACAATCTGCTGGAAGAGAGAATAGGGAGACTCAAAGACATCGGTGTAGACAAAGACTTTATGAACAAAACCCTGATTGTTCAGGAACCATCACAAAGAATCAACAACTGGGATCTCATCATATTAAAAAGCTTTTGTGGGCCAGGGATTTAGCTCAGTGGTTTCACCACCTGCTGCGCAAGCTCAAGGACCCGAGTTCGATCCCCAGTACCCCCCCCAAAAGCTTTTGCACAGCTGAAGAAACCACCAACTGAGTGAAGAGACAACCCACAGAGTGGGAAAAAGGTCATGTATTTGATTTGAACTGAACTTGATGGTTCACTGGAACTAAAAGGATGACCCAAAGAAGTTCTGAACCTCTCAGCAGGTCCAAAGTGTGATGGCTGTGACTGAGAGATGTTCTGTTCATTCTGTTGTTTCTACAGTTCCGTCACATAGTGTTATGGCTTGTGTTTAGATGACCCCCTCCAGCTGCATGCACTCACAGGTGGGGCTTTTTTCTGTAATTCATGGTACAGTGCTAGGCTCAAGGGAACTTGATTAAGGGTGAGAGTGCTACCTCCCCTAACTAATCTGCATAAAATAAAGGGGGCTGAAAGACTGTTGAAGGCCCCTCCCTTGCTCTCTTGTTGCTTTTGCTGCCTCCGCCCGTGAACTGTTGCCCCTCTGCCATGTGCCACCCTACCCTGGAGCCAGCCGACTATGGACTGAATCCTCTATAAACTGTGAGTGACGCAAACCTTCCCCCTTTAACTTTGTATTATGTCCCAGCAATGAGAGAAAAGTAACTAAGACACATAGATAGGTAGGTGTCTTAAAATGAGGACCTAGATAGAATGTATTCCTGAGTTATGTCTGGGACTTGATGAGGGTAGTACCTGTCTCATAGGTGTGCTGTGAGGACCAAGTGAGTCGAACTAGAGAGCATGGAACAGCGAGTGAATTTGAGGTATTAACAGTTGTTAATATTGTTCTCCTCCTCCATCACCAACCTGTTTTCCTCCTCCATCACCATCCTTCTAGTGTGGAAAGATACACATTCCATTAGCACACTGGGATTTTAACCCACCCTAAAAACATAGACACAATTGTTTGTGAGTTTGTAAGCCTAGAGACCAAAGGTGCTACCAGACCCCGGTACTTCCTTGGGCGTGGGGGGGGGCAGAGCTCTGAACACACTGACCTCATTCTCTACCCCCGAGGTGCACCCCAGCCTGCACCCAGTGCGTCCTCAGTCATATGTTGGCTGGTTTGAGTCCTGGCGAATGGACCAGGAGTTTATGAAAGACTGAGCTGAAACACATTTCTAACTTCTCTATAGTCCCAGTTCAGCATTCATTTGGAAAGGCCTCCAAAGAAACTTTGGGAACAAATTGAATTTTTCTTTCATCTATCCAGTGGATTAAGTTTTACTTTTCTGTCTCTAGGTATTAATGACAAGATGTGTGTTCTTGACGCCCTTTGTCATGAAGCTAATATGCCTACTTCATAAAGTCTCTTCCTGGGACAAACACCTCTTGTTATTTATTAACGGGTTTTATTTTGAGACAGGGTCTTACTAATTTGCCTAGGCTGGCCTCCTCCTCAGCCTGTAGTTGTGCCTCAGCCTCCCAAGTAGGTGGGATTACATTGTACACCACAGTCAGCAATAGTTACCACTTAATAACATTTGTTAAATATCACTTTAACATTTACATGATCTTTTCAGTCTACAAAGCACTTTCATATCTGGTACTGTGATTATCAGGGTATTTCTCCAAGGGTCAGAAAGCACTTTTTATTTTCATTACATTGAAGAAGAGATTAAGATCAGAAAGATAATGTGACTCATCCAGGAGCTCAAAGCCAGGTTATGCAGATCCCTGCCTAGAAGCACGAATGTTGTTTCCAGCTTATTGTGGCTTTTATGGCCCCAAGCTCTGCAGCCTGCTGACTTTGTTCTCTAAAGTGAGCACCTGGACAGAGAAGTGCTCAGAACTCCTGAGGTCAGCCCCTGCCGCTATTGTTGGTCTTGGAAAAATCATTTTACCTTTTTTTTTTTCATTTTTACCTTTCTTAATTTTTACTTCTTCATTTGTGAAATTTAATAATGGTGGTATAATTTTCTAGCAGTGTTGTTTGTTTTATTAGCACATGTTGCAGTATATAATGAATACAAATAGTTGGTACATGTACAGGACATGCCTTAATTCCTTTGCCCTTCCTTTTCCTTTCTTGGTCCCCTTTCCATTTGTAAAAGATCTGTCTCCCTGTTTTCTATTATCTGTCTTTTATTTTGCCCTTTATTTATACTTCGGGTTTCTCATATAAGAAAAGCCATATTTCAGTGTATGTGTCTGATTTATTTCATTTGATATTATTCAAGGTGCACCCATTTTCCTACAAATAATTCAAATTCTTCTTTATGCCAAAGTAATATTCCATTATGTGTAAATACCACATTTTCTTTATCCATTCATCTATTGATGGTCATACAGGCTGCTTCCAAGATTTAGCTATTATGAGTTGTGCTGCTATAATATGAGTTTTTGACTTTCAGGAAAGTACCTAGAGGGGAATATCTGGGTAGAATGGAATTTCTAGTTTGTTCTTTGAGGAATGTCCATACTGATTTCCCTAGTGATTGTACCAGTTTACATTACCACCAGCAATGTAGAAAGGTTCCTTTTTCCCTGCAGCCCCACCAGCATTTGTTACTGACCTCTTGATGAGGACCATTCTTTCTTGGGTAGGATGGAATCTCAGTATCATTTCAGTTTGTTTTTCTCTAAGGCCAGGAATGCTGAACATTTGTCATGTGTTTATTGGTCATTTGTACTTTTTCTTCTGAAAATGTCTATTCATTTTAGTTGCCTATTGTTTGATTGGATCTTTTATTTAGCAAATAGTGGTGGAAAACTGGCTATCCACATGCAGAAGATTGACTCTAAACCCATCTCTCTCACCATGTACTAAGCTAAAATGAAAATGGATCAAAGATCTAATTGTTAAAACAGAAACACAACCTGCTGAAAAGTAAAATAGGTAAAACTCTTGAAACCCTAAGAGTAGGCAAGGACGTTCTGAACACCAAATTAAAAAGCTTCTGCACAGCAAAGGAAACAAGCAGCAGAGTGGAGAAGCGAGCTATGGAGTGGGAAGCGTTTTTACCAGCAGTGCTGTGGTCAGCGGGGAACCAGGCTTCCAGTCCAGGTGGTCTGGTCCCGAGTCTGCTTCGCTGTTCTCCTGTCATGAAGTTTCAGGGTTGTGTAATGTGCAGCATGGCCGTGTGACTGTCAGCTGCCACCCAACTCAACCTGAATCTTCTAAAATGACTCAAGACTTCAGCGCTCAGGAGCTGGGGTTGAGCTGAGTGTTCCCTGATTGAAAGACCTGCCCAGTCCTTCAGAATGTAGGCGCCAGGTTGGAAAGAGAAACTGGGATTTTTTTAAATGTGTTTCTCCTAATGTCGTTTTTAAGAGTGTCAGAAATTATTTTTTTTTTATCTTTTTTGCAGCACTGGGAAGTGTTCAAAAATGTAACAGAAGTTTTCATCTTAGTTCCTGCACTTCTTGGCCTCAAAGGCAACTTGGAAATGACGTTGGCATCCAGGTTATCCACTGCGGTAAGTTTTCTCTACAATGTGTTCTCACTCATCCCCTCTTTCCATTAAGAAGAACATGCAGCCGGGAAATAATTTTTCTTTTGTCTGATATGTTTCTGGACCTCAGAGGTGTGCTAAGTAGTTATGACTGATATTAGAGCCTAAAAACTCTCAGGGTTGTCTAGTCTGAGAATTACAGACCTTTTTTTTTTTTTAATCACGAGAAGTAATACACTTGCCTCCTTTATCCCAGAACATTCTAGCAATTATCAGTGTTTAAGATAAGTCAGATAATTGAGATTCTTTGTACTTCTATGGTTGGTTGAATGTTATTTAAACTTTTTGTGATTGTAAAAGTCCTATATACTTATTATAAAAATAAAAGGAATGGGGCCGGGGATTTAGCTCAGTGGTTTCGCCGCCTGCTGCGCAAACGCAAGGACCCGAGTTCGATCCCTGGTACCAATAAATAAATAAAAAATAAAAGGAAAAAAGATATAGAGAAGAAAATCCAGAACTATGCCTACTTCCCCTCCTGGACATAATCTCTATTGATAGTTTGATATACATTCTTTTGTGCTTGCATATTTGTACTTACACACTTGCTTAGACATATCATCATACATACTGTGTATTTTTGTTTGAGACAGGGTCTTGTTATGTAGTTCAGGCTGCCTTTGAACTCACTGTAGCTTAGCCTGGCCTTGAACTTGCAGAGATCCTCCTTCCTCAGCTTCTTGAGTGCTGGGATTACTGGCCTATGCCACATACATACTGTGTATTTTGAAAAAGAACCAGAGCCTATATATTCTTTTGTAATCTATCATTGCCATTTAAAATACATCACAAAAATGTTTCCATATGAGTAGTATAGATTGATCTCATTATTTTTATTGAGTATGAATTTTTATGTTGTACACCTCTACCACAATTTAATTCACCATAGCTCTTGCTAATATTATGTTGTTATAAACAATAGTGGTGAATATTCTTGTAAATACATTTTTGTACTTTTATTTCTTTAGGACAAATTCTAGGATTTTTTTTTTTTCCTTTGGAAACAGGGTCTCCCTATGTAGTCCAGGGTGGACTTAAACTCACTGTGTAGCCCAGGCTGGCCTCGAACTCCTGGCGATCCTCCTGCCTCAGCTTCTCGAGTGCTGGGATTACAGGCATGCACCACCATGCCCGGCCAGGGTTGTAAATTACTATTCAGAAAAAATCTGCCCTTTGATGTTTTAGTTACAAATAGCTAAATTGTCATTCAGAAGGTTTTTTAAAACATTTAACATTTTTAAAAATACTAAGACATCATTGTCTCACTACAATACTACAACATTCCTTTTCTGTGTAGCATTGTGAATCCAGCTCATGGTTAAAGCATATAAACTAGCGAGGGTTGCTTCCGTGAACCATCGGTTTGCTTAATGCCAGCCCCCAGTCAGCTGAGCCATCAGACAGGGATTGTGACAGCTCCCACATATGAAGCCTATAGATAAAAATTTATTTTTCCTTGGAAAAAGCTAGTCAATCCACTTATGAAGTAGAAAAGTATCGGAGTATGAAGGTAGCCAAGGAGTGGAGTGGAAGCTGAACCGGATGTTGTTGGTGTCCTCACTGTCCCATCCCCACCCCACCCCAGGCCATTACCTAATTCCTAAGGTTTCTTGAGTAAAGCAGAGGCTTGGACTGAAATGCATTAAATAATGTTTCATTACATTTTGGGTTTGTTCCATTAAGATGAAATGCTCCACGTGCACAATTGAACTTCTGAACTTCCTTTTTTCTCTCTCTCTTTAAGCAGGGTCTCACTATGTAGTTTAGGCTGGCCTTGAACTCACTATGTAGCTCAGGCTGGCCTCAAAATCATGGCGATCCTCCTGCCTCAGCCTCTGGAGTGCTGGAGTTACAGGTGTGCACCACCAGGCCCAGCTCTGTGAGGCTCTGTAGGCTACATGCACAGAGCAGACCTCCTGAGGAGGCGATGAGTGAGTTGGACCCTGTGCAAAAACAGTGAGTCTGCCACATCAGATGATGGGAAGAAAAACCACTCGGCTGCTATAGATTGGATGAGGATAATAATGTCACATGAACCACTCTAGGATAGGTCTGCTTTAGCAAGTAGACATTCTTACAGTGTGTATCTATGCAGTTTATACAACAAGCTTGCAAACTTAAGGTAAAACCCCTTTCTACCTTGATCCTTATGTCCTAAAGAAGACCTGAAAGGTGGAGTTCAGTCCTTGATTTCCTTGGATTCTGTTTTCAAACTCCGCATCCAGAGGCAGTCCTGGCCTGAGGTCTCCCCACCGTGTGGTTGTCCTCCTCAGCCTGCGTCCAGGCTCCACCCGTGCCCAACAGCAGCAGCTCTGGTGCTCCCCGGCTGGGCACCCGACGGTGGCACAGTCTTCCTCAGGGGCACTGATGTGACGAAGTGGCCCTGGCATCCAGGGCAGGACTCTGTGGCCCCAGGGCTCGCCTGTGGGTTGGAAGGGGGAGAGGAGAGGCAGACTTGCAGTGGATGTAGCCTGGGCCCACATGCTCCTCACTGCGAGCTGGGCATAGCTGAAGAACCAAAGCAGGGCTCTCTGAGCCTGGGCCGATTGGAGGGAGCACTACTCATTCCAGATTCCAGGAGGAAAAACTTGATCAGAACTAAGGAAAATATATGAGTGGAAGAAATTTTAAACCGCCTTGTGAATTACTGCTGCAAGATACTAAAACAAGATGCATAGGTTCTACATTTAAAAGGGCCGTGTGAACAGAAGAGCCTTGCTATCACACTGCAGTGACAGTCACCCTCACATCAGGACTTACTAAGAAGCAGTAGCTGCTGGCAGAGGAAGCGTCCTTCTACTGGAGCCTTCTGAAGGAACCAAAAGGATGCACCATTCCTTGAAGTGCACAAGTATTTCCTTCATGACATATGCTGTGAAAATCCTGTCATCCTGCTTTTGAGTAGATACTGAAATTGGCAATAAAAGCTGACGTGAAGGGCTGGGGATTTAGCTCAGTGGTTCCGCCCCCTGTCTTGCAAGCGCAAGGACCCAAGTTCGATCCCCAGTACCAAAAAAAAAAAAAAAAAAACTGACGTGAAGATAGGAAGTCATTACTTTTTTGGTATCTTGAAAGCTAGGTACATGCTTCTGTTACTACACTTTGGGATCAAAGGTTTAAGGCCAGATTCTTCTCAAGTGATAATGTAAAATGATAAATGCATTTAAAAACAGTAAAAATGTGATGACAGTGATCTTAGCCTTGCTGAAAACATTTAGAACATGTCATCGTCAAACAGTTCCCAAGCTTCAGCTCTTGGATTAACTTCAGTGATATTGCATCTTTACTCTAACAGAACCTCACACAGGGAGTGAAGAGGAGGCGTCTTTACCAGTTACCATAGGAGAGGAAAGGAAGATTAATGACGTGGTGACACCACATTCTCAGTAGGATCTAGATTGACAAAGCTAGATCATCATCATCATTATCGCAAACATCATCATCATCATCTAGTGACTTTGTTTGAAACGGTGTAGTATTACGGATGTGAAGTATAGGAACCACAAGATGAGTCCAACAGCTTTGGTACTGGGAAATTTTGTTTGTTAAAAATATCAAATAGTGAAATTGGGATGAAATAATTTAAAATTTGGTTTATTGTATTTATTTTCATATCCCGGTAGTCTGTTGTATAAAGATGGTTAGCAGCGGCCGAACCCTGTCTTTCCCATGTGGTCATTTGGCACCTGCAATGCAGGTCGGGTGCCCTTCTAGCTTTGTATCTTTAACAAGACAGAAACAATGGGCCGGGGATTTAGCTCAGTGGTTTCGCCACCTGCTGCATAAGCGCAAGGACCCAAGTTCGATCCCCGGTACAAAAAACAAACAAACAAAAAACAAGACAGAAACAAAAACTTAACGTGAAGTTATGCGCACATTTCTAGCTGCTGTCTTTCCCCACTTGCACTTTCTTAGAAGTGGAGCGGCACCTGGTGGGCTCAATCCCGGGACTTTTGTGGCAGAAGAGAATACGGAAGAGGTTTCCAAAGACAAAAGTAGCACCACATGAGGAGGAAGAAGGTTATTAGAGTGGAGTTAAAGGTGGCTCTGGTTTCACTTGTTGGAATGTGAACTTTGTTCTGATAAATATACTTACACATTCAGGCATTTATGCAACTTGATAACATTGCCAGGAAAAGTGACACTTTGGCCTGCTTACCTCAAAGAAAATAACTTCTGAAAACATTGTTCTTGAGCATTGTCCAGCATTTGCTTAGGTTCCCACTGTAGATTGAACATGCCGATCCCTTGGAAATAGGCAGCAGCATAGAGAATCTGTTAAAAAAGAATATACTGCAAGTAGCTGGGCATGGTGTCACATCCCTGTGATTCCAGCACTGAGAGGCTGAGGCAGGAGGATAGTGAATTTGAGGCCAGCCTGGGCTACATAGTGAATTCAAGGCCAGTTTGAGCTACTTAGTGGGATTCTGTCTCAAAAAACAACAAAACAACTGCAAGTGAACTTCGTTGTTTAATTTGATCACATATCATCATTAAATCTAATGACAAATATCGTTTTTAACATTGTTGAGGTGTCTATATTTTGGACTAGGTATCTTCCTCCAGTGTCTGGCTTCATGTGTTTTTTCTCTGCTCATATTTAACAGAGGGGACTGCAAAGCTGATTAGCAGCCCAGGATGTGGCAGAGCCGTAACCTAGCTGGGCCTTTCTCTGGGGAGCTAGGGCGGAGTTCTTGTCCTCTGCAGGCTAAGAATCAGTTCCTGATAAGATATTTTAGTCATAAACTGAAGGAAATAAGAAAGTGAGGCTTTGAGGCTGTTTGCAATAGGAGAGGTCCAGGCAATGCGGGGCCATGGTGGAGCTTTCACTGATTGCCACGAGGACATGGATGTCACTGTCACAGTGTGGCCTTCTGATTTGTTGGAGAACCACATTCCCAGCCCCACTGCAGAGCCCCCAGTCAGTGGTCTGTTTAAATAAGCTCTCGGGTGATTCCGATGTA